AAAAAAACAGTTTTAAAATTTAAAGAGGGTTGGAAAATTGGTTTTATAAATTGAGGAAAAAAATCGGACTATCGTTAAAATTTGTGGTTGAAATATTTTTTTTCCCTATAAGATTAGATTGGGAGGGCCATGGAGGCATGGAGCAGTCCAGTTTCGTTGGCCTCCATGGGCTATCGATGATTGCACTCTGTGTACTATAGTAGTAATAAGTACTCCGTTTTTTAGAGCCGTGGAAGCCTAATTTTCACTGGGCTGCAAATATCTTCACCTGACCATTGATTCATGGGCCAAGAGCTCTTTCCCTTGGTTCGATGGGCAGTGTCTGTAAACCGAAACGGCTAAACCCATTGCTCCTCGGCATCGAGGGTTGATTTTTTTTTTTTAGAACAACAAGTCTTGATTGAGGCTTCAATGCTTGTCAACTTCACGACGCGATGGAGAGAGGGCATGTAGGCCATGTTCGGTTGTTGGTTTCAACCATGGTATAGTATTTTTTTTATAATAAACCAACATCAGCCGAATTTATTAGTGTAGAAATTAACCCGCGAACAGACCGACGAAATGAAAGCAGACAGAAACAGGCGTGGGCCCCCGGTCGGCTTCTCTTCATCTCTTGTCTCGTCACTCCGGTTGGTTGCTGCCTTGGTGTTTTGGTGTGGTGCGTGAGAAGATGTGGACGCGACGGCGACCGCGGGTCAACGGACCGGGCCAGTCTTGCCTGTTTACTCGGTCAGTCATCGCTTTGACCTTCCTTTTCAGTGGACTGGTGGAGCGGCTGGAGGAGGTAACATTTTTTCCTCTCTTTCGGTGCTCTGCATCCACAACCAGGAGCAGGAGGGTTTTTGTACAGTGTTTTTCTTTTGTTTTATTTATATTAATTTTGGAACGGGCACCCGACGGCACAACGCAGTGGTCAGCAAGATAGCGCACGAGCCCGGCCGTTTCTTTGACTCGCTCACTGGACTACTAGATCTAGAACTTGACACATGCTGTCTCAGCGCTTGACAGTGGGCCCAATCAGCAAGATATACAGCCTGTTCGCTTGCTCGTAAACGATCGTAAATTTCCAGTCGGGAACAGTGTTTTTCTTTCACACCAAACCAGCCAGCAGTAAATAATCAACGATACGATACGGCCTCCCGAACATGCTGAGAGGCGCTACAAGTCTAATCCCACTCAAACTTTACCGCAAACCATAGTTCTGTACTTGGTTGAACTTTTTTTTAAAACTTTGCTTAAGCACTAAGCATAGAGAACCATACCAACGGTGGTGAAACTAAGGCCCCGTTTAGATGCAAGCCAAAATCCAAAAATTTTCAAGATTCCTCGTCACATCAAATCTTGCGGCACATGCATGGAGCATTAAATGTAGGTAAAAAGAATAACTAATTGCACAGTTTACCTGTAATTGACGAGACGAATCTTTTAAGCCTAAATAGTCTATAATTGGACAATTTTTGCCAAATACAAACGAAAGTGCCGCAGTAGTCAAAAGCCAAAAATTTTCGCATCTAAACGGGACCTAAACCAGATTTGAGGAGGTGCACTTACCTCGTGGATATATATACATTCGTGGTAGGGGTGCATATATGATAAACTTTTACCCAAATAAACTATTTTTGCAAAATTTACGGGGTGCATTTGCACCCCTAAGAATAACACAGCTTCGCCTTTACATACCAAAAAGGGTCATATACAAGAAGAAAATACGATATACGTGAAAGATGAATGAAAACGAGGGTTGGTGATGTCATAAGTAGCCTGCCAAGCTTAGAACACACTGGCGTGCATTCATCCCGTTGTGTTTCTGTTGGACGAGCGTTCGACGACAGACATGCTAGTCTGTCAAATTTGACTAAAACAAGTCAAAACCGTTTAGGACCGGTTTCAAAACTGGCTAACAACATCTCCACCAGTCTGTCTAAAATTTACTCTCTAAATCATTATTTAAAGAGTCATTTGAGTAAAAAAAACATTTTCTGTAACTTTATACCCTCGAACAACTTTTCTACAAATTGTGCTCACTCTAGAGAGCCATCATTGCTCACTATCTTTGACTAGCGAGAAATCTAAGATAGAGAATGTATATATATTTGGCGATCTAATTAAAGAGGTTATTGTAGTGTATTTTTTTCCACCAAAATCTCTTATCCTTATAAATTAGGAGGGATACAGAGAGTATCTTGGAGTTGTTGTAAGCCAAATTTTATAGAGGCGTTGGAATGACCGCCTAGCTTTTTCTAGCTTTCTACGAAGAAACATTTTTATACTAATTTCATAAAGTGATTATATGAAAAGATAATGTTTTCTATTTTTCCAAGCTTTGTATTTTAAAGCATTAGGTTGTGATCTCTGCTAAGTTGTTGTTGCTCGAGAGGCTGTAAAGTAAGCGCCCATTTTGTATAACCCTAGCTCTAAGATCTATAATGGATCCGTAGTTTATAAACTAAATTAAAACGTTTTAAATATTTATATTTACTCTAAAATATAAACGCGATGAGTAGTGTAAATCCACTTGACATGCTTACAACGTTAGATCTGAGATTTTCTAGGGCTATAAATACTTGGCTCCATGAAATCCATAGATTTGAGCATTGTCGGGAAGACCTAAACAACCCCGTACAAAGAGAACTTTTGACAACGCATATTTCAGCAGGTACGTATGTGACAAAATGGCTGCCCGAAAGGCTCAAACCAGTTTTGTCCACACGGTGCACGGCGCCGCGTCAAAAGGCAATATGAAGTTTTGTTATAGAAAACAGTAATAATAGAGGGGCACACACGAGTTCGCACAGTGGCAGGGGAAGAGCTGTTTTGCAGGTGTGCACGTTGCACACCAGCGTTCGAATCTCACGTTCGGCGCTGGTGTTCTCACCGGGATTTACTCTCACAATAACATTTCAGTGGAGCCTCTCAACGTGTGGTGCCATAATGGGACTGCGACGCATCCGTCGTCTACCGAGCCTTCAGGTCTCTGGTGATCTCTTCAGGGACGCATCTTCGCATCTGTGTATAGTTATAGATCTGGTCGTGTATAAGTGGTATGAGTGAGATGTACGTATGCATGCAAACAGTTGCTATATCTATATGTAAAAAAAACGTCACGTCGCACAGCAAAGTCCGCGCCGCAGCGCCGCGCACTCCCTGCGGTCGTCTTCTGAGCACAAGATCACAGGGGCCCGCAGGCACGGACCCCACCCCAAGTCCCCAACTCACGCCTGCGGTCTGCGGAACCCCGTCTGGATCCCGGGAGTCCGCTGTCCCCACCCGTCCGATGGATAGGGCTCCGGGGCATCCGACGCGGAGCGGGTGCGCGTGTAGCCGACTAGCGGCCGAGATATTTTTTCGGTGCCTGAAGAGTGCAGCCTGCTTGCCTGCTGTGCCTTTTGCAGTATGGCCCCTCCGAGTCCACGGTATTACCAATCGTCAGGCGCAACGGCAACGGTTGATTATTCGTACCGTGCACTGTGCAGTGGGGATTTTATATTCGTGCACGAAATTTGACGTGACGACTAACGAGACGATGGGTCTCGTTTAGATTGGGGTTAGGAATCAGTATTTGACACTGTAGTATTTTTGTTTGTATTTGACAATTATTGTCCAATTATGGCCTAATCAGGCTCAAAAGATTCGTCTCGTAATTTACAATCAAACTGTATAATTAGTTATTTTTTTATCTATATTTAATACTCCATACATGTGTCCAAAGATTTAATGTGATGGAAAAAGAGTGAAAAAACTTATAATCTAAACTAGGCCCAGCTGGGATTTTTTTTCTCCAATACCTTTATCTTCTGCGATGATAAGTCTTGATGACGTGACGTCTTCTAGTAGCACTACAGGGTAGGCTACCAGTAGGAGCACTGTACAGACCTCGTTCCAGACCCCGAACTTCCAAAGGGTTTGGCCTGGACATGGCTGAGCCGCTGATCGAGTCAAGAACGAGCCAGGATAACTGCCACCAACCGCCCTTCTCTACACCCTGGTCTACAGCACTTGCAACTACCGCACGGTGTGGTGCATAGTATTTCTTTCACACATACCTACCGTTTTCAAAATGTAAATTCCTAATCCATATATATAAACTTATTTATTTATGTATTACCGTACGATCCGATTGTGGATGGTGCACATAGTTTTCCTATGATTTTCTTGCTGTATTCTTCATTGTGCAACTTTTGAAGTCCCAACTTTAATCTAGAACATCCATTGTGTGGCAATGACACCACTATATATATAATATTTTTTAAAAAAATTACAAGTAGGTACAAACACCAACCGCATCCTTTTAAATTCGAGACCTATTAATCTGTGTCGGTTCTGTCGCGCTCTGAAATTCATATATATACCCACAGATTTGTTTTTCTTTTTTCTCGAACAAACAAATATGCTCGGATTTCAACAGCGTCATCTGCCAGCGCGGCCTCATCTTCCTCCTCCTCCTCCTGCCCTGCCCGTCACGAACTCGTCGAGAACGAAACAAGACGAGACCTTTTCTATTCGGCTTCCTCCTCCAGCCTCCTCCCTTTTCCCATTTATTTATTTTTCTTTTTTTCTCTCCCCTAAAATAATATACTTCGCCTCCTCTCTCCCTCTCTCTCCTCCCCCTTCCTTCTCCTATCCGCCTCCGCCGCCCTCCTCATTCCTCAACGCGGCGACGACCGCCACCTCCCGCACGTCTATCCTAGCCCGGCGCCTCCTCCTCCGACTCCCGCGTCCCCCCGCCCGTCGCCGGAGACCGGAGGTCAACGGAGACCAGGCATTCGCGGCCACGCGGGTCCCGGAGGTTCGTGTCTCTTGATTTTTTGTCGATAAGGGTTGGGCAGAGCCGTTTGCTCGCGGAATCCTGATTGAGTTTTCCTGTCCGTGCTCTCGAATTCTAGGGTTTTGGAGGCCTGGCTTCGGCGGCGTGATCGGGTGCGGAGGTGGCGGGGGGGGAAGGCGTGAGCAGGCATTGGATGTTCTCGATCCGTACGGGTCCCTGCTGACCTCCTGCCGCAATGGAGGAGCCTGGCGCGGGCGTGCGCGGCGGGGAGGAGGGTCATGTTGCTGACGCCCAACGGTTGGGGCCGGCGGAGGTTGTTCTGTCAACTGCCACCGCCCCTGGACCGGTCCATGGATTGGGGGATGGCACAGTAGAGGTATGCCATGCTCCGGAAGCTAGATTGTCCACAGAGACAGATGACAAAGGGAGCGATTTTGCTCTTGGATTGGTGACTCCTGTCGAGTGTGTTTCTGCCTCCCTCCTCCAAGGAAGAAGGTTTCAGATAGGACAGGAGGAGGGTTCGAGTTCAGAGCAGAGGGTCATGGGCATGGAGGAAGGAAATGAAGGTAGTTTGGCTCCCGCGGCATCCGCTGAAAATGCCAGTTTGCAGATTTGTCATGAGGCCAATGGCAGGCTTTCAAATAAGACGTTACCTTCTCCTTGCCGTGAAGCGGTCTGTTCCGAGGATGCTAGATGCGCGTATGACATTTTGGAGAAAACGACAGAGGGGAGCCAGTTTGAGCAGGTGGGTTTGACGGGTAACGGAGGTGATTGTGTCGTCATGGTGGGGGTAGTAAAGGAAACCGTAGAAGATTTACGGACGGTTTGTAACGGAGCAAAACGTGTGTATGAAGGCTTGTCAGTTTCAGTGAATGATGGCAGCGAGCAAGAGCCACGTGGTGTTGATGGCATAGGATCTATCACGTGTGCTAACGATGAGCTGCAGTCAGATGGTTTGATTTCGGATATTGAAGCTGTCTCGAGGCCAGCTCATGAAGATTCAGTTCCTTCCATTTCAGGGGGCTTTGATCTTTCTTTGGATCGAAAGGCAGGTCAGTTTGGTGGAATGTCAGCTGATCCAGGGATGAGCCATGGGACTGACAGAGGGATGTGGAATGGTGATTTAGCCCATGACAATGGGGACTTGTCGGACCCAGGGAAGCATCACTCGGAGAAATTGCCATCTGGTGCTGAGGGCCTGACATTGATAACCGGTGCTAATTATGAGCTGGAAAAGGTTGGTTTCCTGCAAAATATTGATGCAGTAAACTTCTGCCCAGTTGTTGAAACTTCAGTTCCTTCTATTTATGGGAGCTCCATTGATGTGCCTGTAGATGGTCAGGCTGTTGAGCTCCAGATGGAGGCTTATGGTGATGAGAATCAGCATTTTGGCCCTTGTCCTGATAAAGAGCTGCGACAGGTCTCTCTAAAATATGGGGCCTCTGAGCTACCTCCAGAGAGAAACCAGTGTGTTTATTCGTATAACCAACTTTGCAATGATGAAGCTTGTTGTAGCAGCAAGGAACCATCTGCTCTATGCCTGGGTCATCAAGATGCTGTTGGTGGATCCGACCATTTGGACCAAGGGCTCAACGCCTGTAATTCTGCTGAAGACAGCTCTGTTGATTTTATCAGTAATGCTAATGATGGAGAATTACAGAGCCAAAAGCTGACAGCATTACAGGTATTCATACGTAGGAATCCAAAAAGAGCTGCTTCTTCAAGAAGTCTTAATTCTGAGAAGCAAGATCGAATAGGCAAAGGGAGCAGTGGCTCACGCAAACCTAAAAAGGTTGACATTATGAGCTCATTACACCAAAGCACTGTGGATATGTTCCCAAACAAAATCACTAAGGGAAGAAGTGGTATGAACAGGCCACCAAAATCCTCTACTTGGGGCAATCTAGAACAGCTATTAGATTGCTGTCCAAGATATGGGCCATCTACTTCTAATGCTCATCCAATTTGCCTGGACAAAGGAATATCATATAACAGATCTGATCAGAGAAGTCAGCCAAGTATTCGGAGAAGTCGAAGTTCAAGATCTTCAAAAAGTAAATGCTCTTCCTTCTCTGAAACAGGGCATGCAGCTAATGAACTGGATGGGCAACCAACCTTAACAACTGTGGCTGATATAGGGCATGCTGCTAGTGAATTGAATGAGCAACGAACCTTCTCAATTGTGGCTGATACTGATATTTCCTTGGAATGTCACAGAGGAAACATTCCAAATTTGTCTTCTGATAAATTAATTAATATTCTTGATACTGGCAAAACTACAGAGTCTATTGATAGTCATCGTACAGAATCAAAGTGTATCCAGACTGATGTGCAGCAAAGAGAAAGAGCCTTGGTGAGTTGTACTAAAGAAACATGCGCTGCATACGTCCATGGAGAGTGTGTTAAGCTTTCAACTTCTGAACCTATGGACAATGCCAATGGCAGTGTCATGCTGCATATTGGGTTTTCGCCGGATTCTGTTTTGGAGGTTGCTTCTGTTACATGTGAAGGTAATGCTTCTGCAAGCCATGATGTTATGTTACATGAAAACCCAACCGATGCTGGTGCACTGAATGGTGGTGATCCATCCGTCTTATCTACTTCTGACTGTGGAAAAGAACATGCTTCATCATTGATGAACTTGGAGCAGCACGCTAGAGGTACTTTGCATGAGGACACCAGAAAGGAAGAGGTTGGTCCATCTCATGGCACAGTAGAAAATGATATTGGTGAAGGAAAGGTGCAAGCTTTACAGAAGTCAAATTCTGTGAGAAAAAATGGTATTGTCAGAAAGGCAGGTTGCAAAAAGAAAGATGGATCTAAAGGGGTAAAAAAGAATGTTATAGGATACAACAAAGTTTCTCCATGTGAATCTTCAAAACTTAGGCCGTTCTCTAGTGATCCAATTTCACCTGGGCCTCTAGATGATGGGTCTTGCTTTGAAGCCCTAACTTCAGGCTACCAGGACCTTAGTATGCATGAACATGATGGCATACAGGGTCACTCTGTAGTGCATGGTGACAAAGGGAGTGCATTTGACAGTATGAAATCACCAAGACGCAAGATAAAGGATACTAATGCAAGAAAGAAGGGTAAGGTGCGAGACCCACATAAGAAAGAAAAAGGTAAAAAGAAAAATACATCAGGCGAGACTTCCCTTGATCATGGACTTTTACATTTGCCTTCTACTGAACGGGCAGCACGTCATATGAATGAACAGAGTATGTCTTTGAATTTATCATTTCTTCCTTTTCCATAACATATAGCAGGCACCTTCAGAAGGAATTTACATTCTCATTTTACGTAGGTAATCTTGATCCTACCTCCGAACTTGCATTCAAGAACTCTGGCGCCATATCTACTGATTTACCTGGAAATGTTGCATGCAAAATGGATGGGGCATCTGTAGCACCACTGCCACCACGTGCTGCATGGGTGTGTTGTGATGATTGCCAAAAGTGGCGGTGCATACCTGCTGAACTTGCAGATGTGATTGGAGAAACAAATTGCAGATGGTATTAATTTTCCTTCCTGTTATTTCAGTTATCAGTTTAAATGATCGCACCAGCCTGCTTGTCTAATTGAGATGTACTGTACTGCTATGCTCTTCAGTAGGTCTGTATGGTCTGTCTTAGAAACCCTCTTTTTCCTCATTTAATATAACTGTTCCTAGCAACGTGGGTCACTACATTGTTTTCTCAGTTTTGTAAAGCGGAGATGCCGATTTAACCTTTATACAGTTCTAGAGAAGGTATTTCAAGTTTTGTTAACCTTCATTGTCTTGGTAACATCTTTGTAGCTTGCTTTTTTGCAAATTGTTGTTCCACAAAGGTTTTACCATTTTTCCTGAATTATTCATACATTGTTCCAAGTGGACTTTCCAATTTGTACTTGTAGTAGGTTCTACCCCAGTTTTGGAACAGAAATTTCCATCTCTACCATAAAACCTGATCCAATGACAGCTATACCATTTTCTGTTCCTGGTTTCTTTAGGGCACTCCCAATGCATAGTTTCTATAGGTAGTTTCTTAAGGAAAGTGAGTTCAAATTAGACCTAACCTTCCCAATGCATAGTTTCTATGGAGAATAAAATTTAATGAACAATTACATACACCACAAACAGAAAAGGATCAGCCGTGGCAAGCAGCCATATATCCTTTCTTGCTGCCACAAACAGAAAAGGATCAGTGCTTCGTGCGCGCAGGCTCAGGGGATCGGAGCAGCAGCACACGGGTCGCGGGCTCGCGGGAGCATTGGAGTAGCGGATCTAGACTGAGAGGATAGGAACAAGCAGCCTCCGCCCAACGCAGCTTTGATGGTTTCTTCATGCATTGATGTGCGTGAGGACTCGGTTTTCTTCTGTAGAAATGGTTTCTCCATTTTTTCCTCTCTCATCAATAAATCATCACTTGCCACATCAGCGAAATGATTACATAACAAGGTAATTAATATACATAGAAACTATGCAGGTTTCTGCATTGGGAGTGCCCTTAAAGTTTCAGATGGATTAATCCAAATAAACACAGCAGGATTCTAGCTGGTAGTTAAGGAAAATAATAGGCTGATTGAGGTACTAATTCTCTGCATTAACTAGGAGGCTATCACAGCCATATTTGTGGCTCTCGGCTGTGTATTCAGCAGGCACCATACTACTGTGTTTGTGTGTTTCTTTTAGTGTGAGTGAGTTCTAGGTGACCTGTGTCCTTGTCCTTTCAATTTTAATATAAACTTGGTCGAAGTTAGAGAAATTTGACGTTGGATAAATCTAAAACGACCTACATTTTGGATTGGAGGGAATTTCAAATATTGGTTGTTGTTTATTTTGTACACGTCTGGTAAAGCAAAAGAACTAGGATTTGCTGATGGGTAGCCCTTTGTACATGTCTGGTTGTCTGGTAAAGTGAAAGAACTAGAATATGTTGATTGATGGAATAGCCCAACCTCAACTTGCATGCATCATCCATTTCTTGACTAGTGTGTATGATACACTGTGTTTCTTCATCATCTATGCTCTTCCTTTTGCTGCCACACCCTATATATCATCTCTTTACAAACCACATCTTCAGACTTACACCTGAGATGCTTAATTCCACTGTGAATTTGCACTTATCTCTTAGAGCAAGAGAAACTACTCATATAAGATATAGCAACAAGTGTATTGAAGGGTTGAAACCTCACAATGTAATGTGTTATTACCACTTATGCAAATCTCTATTTTAGATCTTCCATAAGCTCCTCCTATTCTTGTCTCTTGATTCCATTCATGAGTCATCATTTTACTTTAATGTGTACTTTTTTCTTTTACATTTTTTTGGTTCATCTGTCGAATGTTTTATGCTTCTTAATTCTTATTCATTGTTTTTTCTTACTATGAAGGACTTGTAAGGACAATGGAGACAAGGCGTTCGCTGACTGTTCTATTCCACAAGTGAAAACAAACGCTGAGATTAATGCAGAACTCGATCTTTCAGATGCTTCAGCTGATGAAGCAGACAATGGTGAATCTAACTCAAAAGGTTTTGAACCCCTGCATCCTTCTATTTTCTTCAATACCATTTTTTGTTCAATATAATGTAAAACAATCCGATTATGTGTTATCATTTCTGATTCTTTTACTCCCTTTTTGCATCTTGCTGTTGAGTAGCTTGCAAACCACCATCATGGACTCTTGTTAGGTCAAACTTGTTTCTGCATCGAAACCGCAGAACACAATCCATTGACGAGGTCAGTGCTGCCAACAAATTTTCCCTCTGGTTTGACTTATGTTTCAGCTATTTTTCTCTATGCACATGTAGTTCCGTTAATTATAGACCTTGCAAATTTGTAAGGACATTTAGTTCAAAAGGTCGCTATAGATTCTCGTTCATATATCCGTTTGCAGGCTAGGTAAGGAAAAGTTAGTCAAAAGGTGCATAAAACACAAATATTTATACTGTAGGCACTCTGAATCAGGGATATGTGTGGCACACACTTTTTTTATGGTTATTAAGGTGTCACTTAAGCATTGGAGCAGTCTAGGGTCACCATAGAGGCAAGGAGCCAAGGACGCAAGGTAAAGCTTAGTCGCCTTAGGCATATGTGGTCACCCCCTTGATTCCGCGTCTCCCCCTCAGTTTTGCTTCTGGCCCACTCAACTTTGATTCTGGCCCACTTGATTTTGCCATATCCCGCTTGTCAATCCCTTGATTTGGAAGGGGATGTCAGCGGTGGTCGATCTGAGGGGTGCATACTTGTTTGGTAAGGGAAGGGAAGCAGCAGAGAGGAGAGAGGTAAGCGCGAGCGAGAGGGACAGAGGTGCAACGGCGGCACTGGAGAACGGGAGAGAGGAGCGGCTGCGCTGAAGACAAGAGAGGGGAGCAGTGGCGCTGGAGAGAGGGGATTGGGACTTTGTATGCCAGGAGGGCACATGTGCTGCCTGGTGGGGTGGGCTAGCCCACTTCTTACTCCTTTCTTTTTCTTTTTTCCATCTTCCACGGCTCTATCCTGCTATTTTGCATTTTCCTTCGAATGTAAGGTATTGCCTCCCTCACGCCATAGCCACTTAAGCGTAAGGCTAAGGCAGTAGTCAGCGGCGCGCCCCTCGGGGCGCTGCGCTACAACGTCCTGCGAGCTCCCCATCCGACCTGTCTTGAAACACGGACCAAGGAGTCTGACATGCGTGCGAGTCGACGGGTTCCGAAACCTGGGATGCGCAAGGAAGCTGACGAGCGGGAGGCCTTCACGGGCCGCACCGCTGGCCGACCCTGATCTTCTATGAAGGGTTCGAGTTGGAGCACGCCTGTCAGGACCCAAAAGATGGTGAACTATGCCTAAGCGGGGCGAAGCCAGAGGAAACTCTGGTGGAGGCTCGAAGCGATACTGACGTGCAAATCATTCGTCTGACTTGGGTATAGGGGCGACAGACTAATCGAACCATCTAGTAAGGCAGTAGTCAGTCGCCATGCCTCGCCTTACCACCCTGATAACTATGCTCTTTTTAGCTGCAAGAATGTCTTCAATCATCCAACCATGCAACCACTAGAAAATCCTACTATTCTTCCTGTGGTCCATGCTAAATCAAACTATCCTGAACTATTGTACAAAAATATATTGATTCTTTGTTATACTCCTTGCGACTTGAGTACTTGCTGACATTTTGAAGGATAACCTAATTTTCTGCATTTCTTATTAATTATGACCAGAGCATGGTGTGCAACTGCAAGCCGCCCCAAGATGGCCGAATGGGTTGTAGAGATGGCTGTTTGAACAGGATGCTCAACATTGAATGTGCCAAGCGTACATGTCCGTGTGGAGAACAATGTTCTAATCAGAAGGTCACTGCTTCTTGGTTATCCTTAATTTAGTTAATTTCTTCTCTGCTACATTGATTTTGACTGTAAAATCTGTGAAACAGTTTCAGCGACGTAGCTATGCAAAACTGAGATGGTTCCATTCTGGCAAGAAAGGCTATGGACTGCAGTTGCAAGAAGACGTTACTGAAGGAAGGTTTCTTATTGAATATGTTGGAGAGGTGCTGTTGTCGTCCGTTATTTCCCGTGTTTGTGTCCTTGTACATAACCTGTTATTATGTTAGTGCGATGATTGTTGATTATATGATATGACTAATGGGCTCTTTTGACTCTCTACTGAATGATTTTCTTTCAGGTCCTTGACATAACATCCTATGAATCCCGCCAAAGACATTATGCTTCAAAAGTCCAGAAACATTTCTATTTCATGGCTCTAAATGGTGGCGAGGTATGCCTTTTGGTTTTTATATTTTGTCCATAAGCTATTTCTTAGCTTCTTCAGATTTACTATTTTATTGCATATTACATGCCCTCCATTTTTTACTGCAAGTTCTTTTGTCTGAAAGTTGTATTCAGTGAAGAACTATCCGATCACCTCCTTTTATTCCCTTCCGTCCTCATCTAGTGTATTATGTTGACTTTGTGTCGTACTCACTTTTCTTAATACACCCATCACGATGTTGACACAATTGAATACATTCCATTGAACTTTTAACCATTTTTTTTTGTTTCAATTCTTCCAGGTAATAGATGCTTGCACTAAGGGAAACTTGGGCCGATTCATCAATCATAGCTGCAGCCCTAACTGCCGCACAGAGAAGGTTGACTTTTATCTCTTTCATTTTTGTGTGTAATTGTGTATTGTCTACTATGTTTATTGCCATTAAATCCTTATCCATCAAAATATATTCAGTTCTCTTGATATAATGATCTATAGTTGTGCTCTGTCTCACTCAGAGTTTGCTAAATTATGTTCCTTATTTTTTTATAGTGGATGGTCAATGGAGAAGTCTGCATTGGAATATTTGCTTTGAGGAACATCAAGAAGGTAAGGCTAGAAACTATCAGATTCTTACAAACTGGACATTTTGTCCCCATATGAGAGTTCATCTAACAGAAAGAGTGAGGGTTGGTTTGCTTCATCTATAATTGAAGTTGAATCAGTGAATAGTCTCAGTGAATTATATTATGCATGTCGTATGATACTGGGCAACTGTCAGCATGTAACGGGTATGTTTTGTTCTTATAATATATAGGGTGAAGAATTGACATTTGATTACAATTATGTTCGTGTATCTGGTGCTGCTCCTCAAAAATGCTTCTGTGGTACCGCCAAATGTCGGGGTTACCTTGGTGGAGACGTATCAATTGTTGATACCATCATCACCCAAGACGATACAGAAGCAGATCATTTTGAACAAATGGTTGTTGACAAAGATTCTGAGGAGTTGCTGGGTCCAAATGGGTCTGATTCTGATGGTAGCCACCCAAATATTTCAGAAACTGAATTTTCTATTCAAGGGGAAGATCTACATGATTCCTCAGCTGCAAAAGTAGAGTTAGACCTGCTTGAGGAAACTAGAGGAACCCCATTTGAAACTAGTGAGCCCGAACATTCCTTGGAAGTATGGAGCCCGCCAGAAGATGAAGATGTCAATCGCACACCTGTGCATGTGTCACGAACATTTGAAAGTTCTTTGCAGACGTTCCCAGCACATGACACTCAGTCATCAGATCTTTTGCAAAAGACTGCAAACTCAACGGAAGGATCAAAGGCTCCAAATATAATAAATGGATCGACGCTTAGTTCTGATTTCAGGGGCAATCTGGTGCCTACTTTCAGTGCTACCGAGAGAAAAATCTTAAAACAACATAAAAACCAGAAACCACAACCATCATCTCCAATTGACAATGAGCACATTTTGGGAGGTACTATTCTGCCTCATGCTTTCCTCTTCCCACTTTGAAATGTGATAGTCTTAGTGATCTCTCCTTGGTATATGTAGTTGAAGGGAGACTGAACAGCCTACTGGATGTGGACGGTGGTATCAGCAAGCGAAAGGTATGAAACCATCATTATCCCCTTAATTGTACATAGTCTAGAGTACCAGGTTTGCACACAATATCCTTTTGCGAAAGTTTTGTGGATGATTCTAATTATGATGCAATCTCCGTATGCTGGACACAAATCATTCCAATTGGGTCTGATACTATGTTATGAAAGTTTGGAAGGCACATGGCTTTAGAAGATTATAAGCCTTTGATTCATCGTGAGTTATCATTCTACATTTCTATGTCCTAACTAGTCAATGTATCTTCTGGAGCAGGATGCTACAAATGGATACTTGAAGCTTCTCCTTGTGACTGCAGCAGAAGGTGGCAGTGCTGAGGGCACATCCAAAAGGTTTGATCACCAGATGAATTGTGATCCAAGGTTTCCTCTCCTAAAATATGCTAATTTCTTTCTATCTGTTTCAGTATGAGGGATCTTTCATTGATTCTTGAGGCACTTCTAAAAACAAAATCACATTCGGTTCTGTTGGATATCATCAATAAGAATGGTAATATTTCCTAGCATTCCTTCAACTCCCTGTATGAAAGTGCTTCAGTCACCAACTAAGAACCTTTTTGTTCTATTTTGTGGCAGGACTGCAAATGCTTCATAACATATTGAAGCAGAATAGACACATCTTCCACCGGACACCTATTACACGGAAGCTTCTGAAGGTCTGCACTTCATTTTCTCTAATAAAATGTTATCAGCTACCATAATATTCACATCCTGTATTGTTTCCAGTTGACATCTTATTGTTTTCACATTACTCCCTCTAGTCACAAATAAGTGTCATTTTGGACAGCGACATGGTCTATAAAGTATAAATTAACGTAAAATATAGTGAAGCTTTAAATTTTTGGAATTACTTTTAAAGACAAATCTGACCATACCATTTTCAAAAGTTTATTGAAAATATTTGAAGATAAATCAATGGTCAAAGTTTAATCATGTTGACTGATGGAACCCTAAATGACATTCTTTATTGGAGGTAATACATCATAATCAGGGTTATATCACCTGAACCTGGTGTTACTGTGTATGATATTGGCATCTTCCTTCAGGTACTTGAGTTTCTAGCTCAGAAAGGAATTTTGACATCCGAACATATAAATGGAGGTCCTCGATGTGCTGGAGTTGAAAGGTTAGATTATTTGAACTTGTTTATTCCAGTGTTATTTGGTACCGATTGAAGAATTTCATATTCAGTTTGTTTTCTAGGGACCGTTACTTTTTTGTGTTTTATTTATTTGTAATGCCTTTTTGACCTGAACTAGCATGGGGTTTTCTCTAAGGCCCGTTTGGATCCTTGGAATTGAATTCATTCTAATGAATTATAATTTAGGCACATATTAATTAAGCTAATGTGATTGTATATGGAATATATTTGTATACTATTGTTAGCCATGCAAGAGAAATGCTTATATATTGCATTTCTACTATAGGGAAATGAGTTGAAGAGCATGCTATAAGTTGGAGAGTAGAAACATAGCATGATGATCTATATAATCAATTTCCATCTTCCACCCTATGAATTTGAGATAGACTTATATGTGAACTTTGTAAAGTTGTGGAATCTCAAATTCCAAACCAAATAACCTAATCCATTAAGTATATTTCAATTCCTCGAAAATGAAGGAATCCAAACGGCCTCTAAGTGAAATGAAATCCTTATCTCAGAACAAATGACATTCTTGCTTGTTACTTTGTGGTTCTTACAACAACAACAACAACAACAACATAGCCTTTCAGTCCCAAGCAAGTTGGGGTAGGCTAGACCGCTAGAGTTGAAACCCACCAAGAGCCCCAAGTCATGGTTCAGGCACTTCAATAGCTGCTTTCCAAGTACTCATATTCAAATATAGATCTCTAGGTATATTCCAAGCTTTCAAATATCTTTTTATTGCCTTCCTCATGTCAATTTTGGTCTTCCTCTACCTCTCCTCATATTATTAGCTTGGCTTAGGACTTCACAATGCACTGGTGCATCTGGAGGTCTCCTTTGGACATGGTCAAACCACCTCAACCGATGTTGGACAAGCTTTTCTTCAATTAGTGCTACCTCTAGACGATCACGTATATCATCGTTTCGAACTCGGTCTATTTTTGTGTGACCGTAAATCCATCGCAACATACGCATTTCTGCAACACTCGGTTGTTGAATCTTTGTAGGCCAACATTCTGCTCCATACAACATAGCCGGTCTAATCGCCGTTATATAGAACTTGCCTTTTAGCTTTTGTGGTACCCACTTGTCACAGAGAATGCTAGAAGCTTGTCGCCACTTGATCCACCCTGCTTTGATTCTATGGCTAACGTCCGCATCAATATCTCCATCCCTCTGTAGCATCGATCCCAGATACCGAAAGGTATCTTTTTCAGGCACTACTTGACCTTCCAAACTCACATCTCCCTCCTCCTGTACAACTCCGTCAAAGTCACATCTCATGTATTCGATTTTAGTTCTGCTCAATCTAAAACATTTAGACTCAAGGGTCTGTCGCCATAACTCTAGTTTCCTATTTTCTCCTGCCTGGGTTTCGTCCACTAACACTACATTATCAGCGAACAACATACACCAAGGGATATCCCCTTTATGTTCCTGGTAACCTCATCCATTACCAAGACAAAGAGATACGGGCTTAAGGCTGACCCTTGATGAAGTCCAATTTTAATCGGGAAGTAATCTGTGTTACCATCGTTTGTTCGAACACTAGTCACAACATTGTTGTACATGTCCTTGATGAGGGTCACATACTTTGATGTGACTTTATGTTTGTACAAAGATCACCACATAATATTTCTTGGTATCTTGTTATAAGCCTTCTCCAAGTCAATGAAAACTAAGTGGAGGTCCTTCTTCTATTCTCTAAACCGCTCCATAACCTGTCTTATTAAGAAGATTGCTTCTATGGTTGACCTTCCGGGCATGAAACCAAATTGGTTTGTTGATATCTGCGTCGTTCCTCGCAGGCGCTGCTCGATGACTCTCTCCCATAACTTCATAGTGTGGCTCATCAACTTAATTTCTCGATAATTAGTACAACTTTGGATAGCTCCCTTGTTCTTATAGATTGGTACTAATATGCTTCTTCTCCACTCCTTAGGTATCTTGTTTGATCGAAAGATATTGTTGAACATTTTGGTTAGCCATACTATAGCTATATCCCCCGAGACATCTCCACACCTTGATTGTGGCCCATCGCTTTGCCCCCTTTCATCCTTTTCAAGGCTTTTCTGACCTCCGATTCTTGAATCCTCCGCACAAAACGTCTGTTAGTGTCATCAAACGAGTCATCCAGCTGAACGGTGGTGTTCTCGTTCTCACCATTGAACAATTTATCAAAATACTCTTGCCATCTATGTATGATATCATCCTCCTTCACCAAGAGCTGCTCCCTCTCATCCTTTATGCACTTGACTTGGTTGAATCCCTTGTCTTCCTATCGCGAGCCCTAGCCATCCTATAAATGTCCTTCTCTCCTTCCTTCGTACTCAAACGTCGGTAAAGGTCCTCATAGGCCCGTCCCTTTGCCTCACCCACCGTTCGTATTGCAGTCTTCTTTGCCACCTTGTATTTCTCTATGTTGTTTGCACACCTGTCATGATACAAGCGCTTATATCACTTCTTTTTCTTAATAGCCTTTTGCACATCTTCATTCCACCACCAAGTGTCTTTCGAGTTGCATCCGCTCCCTTTGGTTACTCCAAGCACCTCTGAAGCAACCTTCCGAATGCATGTTGCCATCTTCTCCCACATGCTGTTTGCATCGCCTTCATCATTCCAAGGGCCCTCTTCAATGACCTTTTCCTTAAAGACCTTTGATGCTTCTCCTTCTAATTTCCACCTCTTCGTTCTAGCAACCCTAGCTTGTTTGTTCCCACGAGCTTGCACCAGAAAGCGGAAGTCAGCCACCACCAGCTTGTGTTGAGCAACCACACATTCTCCAGGTATCACCTTACAGTCCACGCATGTTCGTTTATCCCTCCTTGTAAGGACAAAGTCGATTTGACTAGAGTACTGGTCACTACTAAAGGTCACTAAATAGGACTGTCCCTTACGAAAGAAAGTGTTAGCTCTCATCAGATCAAAAGCTATGGCGAAGTCTAAGGCTTCCTCTCCCTCTTGGTTCTTACTACCATATCCGAAACCCCCATGAACCGTCTTGAAACCTGCACTTGATGTACCTACATGGCCATTAAGATCACCTCCTATAAAGAGTTTCTCGCTACTAGGGACAGCTCTAACCAAGCGATCTAAGTCTTCCCAGAAAAGCCGCTTAGCACTCTCATCATGGCCTACTTGGGGGCATACGCACTAATTACATTTAAGACCATATCACTAATGACAAGTTTAACTAAGATGATTCTATCCCCTTGCCTTCTCACCTCCACCACACCATCCTTGAGGCTCTTATCAATCAAAACTCCTACTCCATTTTTATTTGAAGTTGTCCCTGTGTACCAGAGCTTGAAGCCGGTATTGTCCACCTCCTTCGCCTTCTACCCCTTCCATTTAGTCTCTTAGACGCATAAGATATTTACACGTCTCCTAACCGCTGTGTCCACTAACTCTCTTAACTTACCTGTAAGGGACCCTACATTCCAACTACCTAAACGGATCCTAGTTGGCTCGACTAGCTTCCTTACCCTTCGCACCCGCCGAGGTAGGTGTGAAGACCCTTGCTCATTTTGCACCACACCTGGGCGCCGATGTGGCGCGCCACTAAGGATGCGACGACCCGATTCTTGCTCACTTGACATCGTGTCCTGATCGCGACACGGCGCGTCACGGGGGTGACGACCCGGCCTTTGCTCATTTAACACCATACCCGGGTTCCGACATGGCGCGTCGCTAAGAGGGTTACGCAATAGGACAGTTTTCAAACTGTCACTGTTTACTAAACTAAGCTCAGTGCAGTAACAGTGCATGACAATTTAACGTGGATCTAGAGATAGCTCCTACCTTTGTTCCTTGAAGTTTTAATCACAATTCACTTTTTCTATAACTTCATCTGGAACTTGTACTGCAGCTTCAGAGACTCGATGCTGAGTTTAACAAGACATCACGACGTTCAGGTAATGGACATACCATGCTAATGCAGTCTTTCAGCTTTATGTTTTGGAAATATGTGCATAGTTACTTATTTGGTAGATTTCAAACGAAAAGGTTATGCATGGAGTTAGGCTTCCACGCATTTGACCACCAAAATGGCCACTACACTTGTGGCAAAGCTAGTTAAAGCACGACTGTTTATGGTCTGTACACTGACCATGTGAGAGTCTTGATCGCCAAAACTTGTTGCAATAGACTAAAGTACTAAGTACGAAAGTGTGGCAAAAACACAACCTCGACTACAAACTATTATGTTTGCAAAGTGAGTTGTGGTAAAGTTAGGTTGCACCTGGAAACTTAATATCCACTTATTAATTTGGAAAACACCTGTAGAATGATAGCACAAATCACATGGATGCATTTTGGATTAATGTTGTGGATCTGTGCTGCTATATTTCTTCTTTGTTGAGTTGCAAATGGTGCAGTTTTGTTTTCACTTCTATTCTGGATACATGGATGTTTAGTATTACTTTTTGGTAGTTTATTTTTTTAGACCAATTTATCATGGAAAAACAGGCAAAACTTTTGATAGTTTCGAAAGGAAAGTATATCACTATAAGCGGTGCATGTACAACAGAATTACCGTATTTGCATGTGCAGTCAAATTTAAACCTCAACATGCTTTTGTGTTCCTATAAACCACTTCCACAACCAGTAATTACATACCAAGCACTGATTTTCCATGAAGCGGCATGTGTCTATAATTTTGCAGTTTTGACCCTCTCAGAAATTATCTGGGAACTGCTGGTGACTTCTCATGTCTGTTTTTTCTTTGTACTATTAGTTTTCTAATGAAAGTTTCATGTGATTTTTATCTGTATGCATGCAATCCTTAACACGTGAATCAATCTGTCAAGCCTAAAATACTCTTTCCTCCATGTGACAGGTTCATCAGATTGCTCGGAGCTTCCGTGATAGATGGATCCCCCGTAATACATCCACATTTGTGTATGATGTCCAGGGGACTAATACAGTCTGGAGTTCTGCTAGGAGGAAACGCAAGAGCCGTTGGGACTATCAACCTGACGAGCATTATAAGATGGTGGGACTAAAAATCCAAAAAGTTTTTTCTGGCTTTATGAGAAATAAGTTGCAGAGGAATCAGGGTGCAAACAACTATTGTAATGATGTTCTTGGCATGGGGAGTTCAACACAGGGTGCAGATGATGAAGTCCCTCCTGGGTTTGAGTCCCAGCTGGAGTGTCGGCCTGCACAACTTTCCATAGGCAGCGAGGTTGCTCCAGGACTTTGCATGGAGAGGTACCAACCTAGCTTGAGTATTTCATATGGGGTTCCTGTCACTCTTGTTCAGCACTTTGGAACCCCTGAATCTGAAGGAGGCCAATGCCATCAAAAATGGAAAGTTGCACCTGGCGTGCCTTTTAGTCCTTTTCCACCATTGCCTCCCTATCCACGAGGGAGTCCTTGCCCCTCCACTTCATCATCCCAGATGTTTCAGCATGATGGAACACCCCAAGTTAAACATAACAGTTCTGGACAATGCGGAAGGATCATGGGCCAAGATGGGAGAGTGCATAGGTCATGGCGAAATGGGCCAAGATCAAAATGGCCATACCATCATCAAGGAAGGAAATTTTCGAGCACTCATCATAGATTTGAAAGATTCGAACCTCCAAAACCTCAATAGTGATTAAGGGTTCAGGGCAGTGATTGGGCCCAGCCCTGCAGTTTTTGAACCTCAAGTAGCGGTGGTATACATGGTAATTCCTGCTTGTCAGAAGTGTAACAGAAACTGTGTCAGCCTTTAACTATGTTTAAAGAGTGTAACTTTCAGTTCATTGGGGGTAGAACAGATGCTGCACATAGGTCATTGCCAGTGCAGTGTTACTAATTAATTTGGTCATTGTTTTTTTTCTCCCAATGGGTATTCTTAATAGGAACATTTTATGATTTGATTTAATCCTTTTTACAGGTGATAAGGCTAACCAATTTTATCGACAATCCTCTGTAGTCTCGTTTCCTTAATTACGTTTTCCCCCCTTTGCTTTCTCTGTAAAGCTTCTATTTTTGGCGCAGTGTTCATGTGTTTGTTTCCTTTGCTGTTGCATTTTATTTCCACTCCAATAGGTAAGTAGGCTGTTTTGGGGATCTTGTACATGAGTAGCCTTTTGAATCTGTTCAATTTCTTGGAGTGCTCCTAATTTTAGTCCTCTTGCTGCTTCTACATTACGATGGCTCCTGGACTTAAAATCTTATGATATAGCTGAAGGTGATTCCTAATCGTTCCCCTCTTCTACTGAACGGGCACACGCATGAACTGACACATTGCTACAGGACTTGACAGGTAAGTTGTCCTGAATCCAAATCTGAGCACATTTTCCTTGAATGACTCATTATATAAGTTGTGTCATGCAATTCTGGAGCACGATTTGCTAGCGTTATGTGGTGATATCTGACAAAATTTGCTAATGTCTCGTGTTTTCTTGTTGGAATTTGAAAAAGCTACGTCCTTAGTGTCATTTTGTTATCCCGAATTTGCTAATGTCTCTTATTCTGTTTTGTTGAAATTTGAAACAGCTACTTCGAAGAACTCAGACAGTTGGACCTGGCGTATATGGTTGGTTTTGGAAATGTTGAGAGCCTGACACCTTCCTCGTTTTGGAACTTGGAAATGGTTAGTTTATTTGGTATCTGGGTGCCCCATATCTGTATACCGTGACCACTCACAAATTTATTTATTTTCGGCGCGGGGTCAGCTTGTTAGGTTATGTGTTGTCGAGACTGTGGCCATGTTTTTTCTTGCTATATATATTTCTGATTTAATTTTGGCTATGAAATGGCTGATGCGAAGCTTGGCTACTCAGCAACATGCGACAACGCAGACGTCGTAGCAGAGTCCTGCCCTAGAAGGCTAGAAGCATGTTTGTTACTCGACATTGATTTGACACAGTCTTCTATGCTTATCATTTATCACTAATTTCTTGTAAAATACTTACGCGGTCGTCTATGCTTATCTTTCATCCCTAATTTCTTGTAAAATACTTACGCGGTCTTCTATGCTTATCTTTCATTACTCGTTTCCTTTAAAATACTTCGTCCTGCCGTCTCTCTAAGAGTGCAATTCTAGATCTCTTCCAAGTCAAACCTTTTCAAGTTAAGTTTATAGAAAATAATATTAATGATTATGGTTCTAAAAAGGTATACCATAAAAACATATTGCATTATATATCTAATAATATTTACTGATATCATAAATATTACTTTAGAAAATGATAAAATGAAAGTGGATTAACTAGGCTTGCACTTTTCCTGGGATGGATAGACCATGTTCTTAAAATCCTTGAAAATTAAGTGATTTTGCAAGTATTTTGAATACACTTGCATATCAGCATATAGCTTGTAATTGTTACTTATGTTTGTCACTTTTGAGATCGTAACAAAATCTTATCCCAACGGCATATTTTTGGAACAGAGGCAGTATCGAGAATTGTTTCCTCTAGTAAGAGCATCTTCAAGAGCTCCCTAAATAACTTCATTTTTTTAGCAAAAAAGAAAAGCAGCCCTAGATGAATTTGTATATGAATTCATTAAAGATAAGTAAGCACTTGGTAAATCTATCCCTCAACCGATAAATGTAAATATGTACAAATATGAGAATTTCCTATTTGACATCAGAAAAGTACTGCTTTCTTATTTGATACCCAAACTCAACTTCTTTCCTATCTTTATCCTGTCTCAAGTTTTTCTTTCTATTTAACACTTCTGTTAGTTCTACGAGGAAACACCGTACATGGTGGCCTCGCGCGGAGAGGTGGCCTGGCATGGAGAGGAAAAGGGAAAAGAGATTCTCTCCCTTTTTTATTTTTTTTCTCAAGTGAGAAACAAAAAATAGGAGAGGAGATTTGTTGTAACTATGTTTTGCACCTCAGTTCTTTTTATGCCAGAATATAGGAAAATGAGTCCTTTTTTTAATCCGGTGGAGTTGCTCTTACACCCATCCAACTTACTAGCATGATCATACGCTGCACACACAGACTCATGGAAAAGAATGAGTGCCTAACAACCAACAAAGTTTTTTTAATACCTTTCTTGACATGTTGATTTCAAAAAAAAAAGGAACAGTACCATACACAACATGTAAAGGGCTCTTTGGATTGCAGGATAGGAAAAGGAAAAATTCAGGAATTGAGATGGCATACTCGTAACACTATGGGATTTGAAAACAAAGGAAAGTGTCTTTGGCAAGAGCTTAGGTCAAACACCGGAATTTTATACACGGGAATTTGAACAGCTAGCAATTGCATTCAAAGCATCAAACTAGCAGTTACGTTGGCTTATAAGTCAATGTTCAAAATCTCCAGAGATGACCTAAAGCGGCAACATCCTCGAGAGACGCTAATTGTTGCTAATCATCCGAACACTCAAGCCTGTGGGACCACCTCTTCGGTCATTCTTATCCACACGCTCCTGCCGACGCCCAGGCCAGCAGCCTATCCTCTCTGTTTCTTGTCGAAGTCTACCTCTCTGTTTTTCGTCTGCTATGCTACTGCGTCGCCGCCGGCGCCGGGGCAGAGAACGCTCTCCCTGCATCACGACCGCTCGTGTTGTGCCGTCCTGGCGCTGTAGACGACATGGCCGCGGATCTCCTTTCTGTTGTGTTTTGCGGTGGGAGCTCGAGCGTGAGCCAAGCTCGGTCACCGCCGGCCCCGGCGCATCTCAAGAGCGCGTGGATAGAGAGGTGGTGGGCCGGCGAGCGGAGGGCAAGGGGCACGCAGCCACCACGCTAGATCTGCTTCCTGGGTCGCGCTGAGGGCTGCTGCCCTCTTCTTCCGCAGTGGAGCAGAGCAGGGCGGAACAGGGCAGCGGGTGGCGGCGACGCAGCACGGGGAAGGAGTGGAGCGGAGGTGGCGGACTTGTAGCGAGACTTGGGCTCAGCGGTGGAGCGCGCGAGCAGTGCCGGTCCTAGAATTTGATGGCCCTCTGACGATCTCGTCGCAACATCCTTTTTATTATGTATAAAATCTTATAATATATAGGTATTAATTTTATTTGTAAAACGAAAGCAAATTTAATAACATATTTTTAATTTAACATGTGTGATAAGTATTGAGAAACAATGTAGATTAAGCAATATATTTATAGATGTATGATAATTATTGAGAAACAATATAGATTAAAAAAAGTAATATATTTATTTTCTTTTCTCACCCATAACAAATGTTTCTTACGTAACATTCTAAAATTCTAACACCTAAATTAGAAGAAAAATATGACTATAGGTATAAAGTACTACAAGTTTGGAATACTATACAAATAAATAATTTAGATTAAAAATAAAAAGGAAAAAATACATTGGATCTAAACAACTTATCGGTGATCGTAATTTGTAAGAAGCCAAGAATTAAGATGTCGTCGTCGTGGAGCCCTACCTGGTCGCCGTCCTCGTGCGTCGTGTCGGTGTCTCCGATAGTCTAGCTCTTTGCGGCAGCGCGACTCGCTAGCTCCGCGTATGTAAGGCGCACGTCGCGAACTCACGATCAAAGTGTGCTGTTTGCAGCGTGACTCCTCGCCTCCTCTCTACCCGAGGGCCGTGGGAAATGAAACTAGAAAATAAATACCGATGTTGTCTTTTTGGACCGTCTGATTGGTTCTATGTTTATCTTTTTATTAGTTTGCTAATGCCTAATAAACTATAGGACCTAGGGTTTGTATACCTAGGCTTGGCCCCTCCTCCGCTTGAGCCCTCGGCCATCGCACCTCCTGGCCTACCCCTAGGGCCGACACTGCGCGCGAGTCGTTTCCTTTCGCGCCAGGAAAGTTTGCACGAAGTCTGAGGTCTTTTACTTTCATGTGAAACTGAGCCATAGGAATCCAATCCTATGGAAAATTTCCTCTGGTTTTCCTGTGAACCAAAGGCAGGTGCATGAAAAATTCCAAAGTAACCCAAATCCTATAAAATTCCTTTGCCTATCCTACAATCCAAAGGGGCCCTAAAGGAGTGCATTGCAGTATATTGCATTTTTATCATCAGAAATACTTAGGGCGTGTTTCGATCTCCACATGTCGGCCTATATTTGGACGCATGTGTAGATTCCCAAAGAGAAGGATGTTAGATTCCTTGCACGTGTTGTGTGAGTGCTCCGCAGGTGTAACTTGTAAGATACAGCTACATCCTGCATCAGCTCATGCAGCCAAATTAGCCTTCACCGTCGAGCTAGACCCAGTGGGTGCAGGATGTGTTTGTGTGGGCCCATGAACTGAGCGTAGCTCAGTTGGTTGGGTTTCTTGTGGTAGAACCTGTCCACCCAGGTTCAAGTCTCTGACTTAACACGAGTGCTCGTATTTTTCTGGATTTATTCCAGAATTGAATGGCGCTATTCTTTCAGTGGTATGCGATGTGTCCGTCGACAATGAGGCGCCTGTGGTGACTTTGTCAATCTTGAGATTTGCCGGTCCAACTCAATTCTTCGAAGGTGCTTATAGGGATAGGGTGTGCGCGCATGCGTTCATAGGGGTGAGTGCGCTCGTGTTTATGAGCACGTATGTAACTGAAAAAAGTGTTTGTGTGGGCCTGCATGTCATAGTAGACTGCATGCGCTCATGCATGTAACCAGATAATCTCAGTTTTTTCTACATCCTTTCATGCAATCTAACCTGAAATATGGTTTCACTTAGCCCACGTCCCCTGGATATATGATGCGACCTCTAGCCACAAATCAAACACACCCCTTGTTTCTTTGGGATACGTTTTTTTTTTCATGTTTCCTCTGGTTTTATGTGAAAATGAATCTATTCTTGTAAATTTTCTGTACGGTTCCGGTGAAATTTCTATATTCCAAAAGGGCCCTTAGTGATACTTTCAAAAAAGACAGGACCAAAACTTGTTTGACGATCTTATTAGCTTTCCACTTTCACATAGCGTTGGAAGCTATAACCGTTCATGAATCTACTCGACGTCACAAATACCTGAGTCATTCAAGATAACATGTGAACCACATCGGTGCTCATGCTGCATAGGGGTCCAGATATGTACACTTGGAAGTTGGAGCTGGCCGGCAGCTATAACGTCTTCCCATTCTACATTACTACGACTTACTTCCAAGATATCTCATGCACATAACTACACACCCATCTTGAAACAGCCAATATCGGCAGAGTAGTACAATAATGGTTCTAGTTTACCCATGCCTACATATACTTTGTTTGTTAAAAAATAATGAACATGTACTTTTTTGCTGCGTAATATTGTTGGACTTTTCTGAACTCTGTGAGAAGAGGATAAATATTTCCAAAGGCAAATGTATGTCTCATCTCTTGCTCTCACAAAAAATGAGGATAGACAAATGCAATGGGAAACAATTACTCCCCTTAGGTATATTCAGAACAATCATGCTTGATTATATAATACAAAAGCCAGTAGAACAATCTATGGTTCTCATTATGAGAGGGAAAGGTAAGGAAAACATTGGTGTCAGAATATAGCCAAGGAAAATCAAGAGATAAGGATGGAAGGTAAACATTGGTTTCAAAACATAGCCAGGGAAAATCAACAAGAAAAGATAGAGAGATGGAGATTTGATCTGGACCCTGAATTTTAGATCTAAGTGCCAAGAAAATTAAGTGATGGCTGCCCTTAAAATAGTTAGTTGTTCCCTCAAGTGCTCGGCTTGTACTTGTATAACCAAGGCTGCAGCTGTAGCTGCTTGATTTCAACAGTGCTTGGTGTGCTGCTAAAGCAAGCACTACCGATCACAACCAAAATCGTTTTACAAACAAACCTGATTATCTCTGTGATCATACTTGACCAAGCGCAAAATTTACCTGTTAACGCTTGTTACATATATAGCTTGATATATAGTAATATGTACGGAAACAAGGTAATACATGTATTTCATTTTATAGGGGAAAAAACATACAGAGCAGCATCAACGTCAAAAAGGCCCCCATCTGGAACAAATAGGGATTTCGCAGGATTTACACGGGGATCAAATCAAACTGTTCCATGCAATCCCATGAAATCCTTGCGGAATTCCTATGTTCCAGACTGGCTGCCGCACAATGCAGCTTATATATGAGGCAGATTCTTCAACAGAAAACAAGGTAGGAACATTGTCTTGTTCTTGCCAACATAAATATAAACACATCTCGCGGGCTAAAGATCACCATCACCTGGACTTGGCTTTCTTGGAGCAGAACATGCCCCCAACCAATTGCAATGAGATCCTGCCGCTCTTGTGCTTCTTGGTCCTGCTGGCACTGGCAGTCTTATTCTTGCCGTTCTTCTTCACCTTCCTCTCCTTCCTCCTGTCGCCCAGGTCATCCTCGACCATCTTGATTGCCAGCGCCTCCGACAGGCTCGGCAGGTACTCGAGGCTCGCCACCCACTCCTCGGCCCGGCTCTCGTCCCACCGGTCGCTGCGGACGCGGCCATGGCCACCACTGTCCTCCTCTTCTCTGACGACGACGGCCACCTCCTTGCCCTTGCTGAGGCTGGAGTAGACGGCCAGGCCCTTGCTGAACTGCACGCTGAGGCTGGACACGGCCACCTCCATCTGGGCCTGCCTCTGCCTCAGCTCCACCACCTCGCCCTTGGCCTCCGCCAGGTCTTCCTCCAGCTTCTTCAGGCACTCCAGCAACACGGACGATGGCGAGGCTGCCGCCGGGGGCGCCCTGCTCCCGTTGGAGCTGCCGTTGCCGCCGCCGTGCCTCCGCTCGCCAAACACCTCCACTGCCTCCCGGACCGACTGGAACGGCCGGGAGGTGTCCACCTCGGCTCGCCTCGCGGCGGTTACCTCCATCACCATGGGTGTAGTGTAGTAGCACTGCAGAAGAGTGCGAGGAATGCGAGGCAAATGCAATGCAGCATGGTGATGGCGAAGGGCGGTGAAGTAGACATCGTTCCTGGCCTGTCTTGGCTTCTACTTCAAACACCCACCGGAGGAGTTGCAGCAGCAGAATACAGCAGCAGCAGGCCTTGTGTCGAGGTCAAGTAAAAACCGACCGGTAGAGGGGAAGAAAAGGACTTGCCACCAAAGGCACAAGGAGCTTTTATAAGTGCAGGCTGGACAAGTTGATGGAGCAGACAGAGAGCTGACAAGGAACAGTAAAACTGCACAGAAAATATGCCAAGGAAAATCTGTTTCTTTTCAGACTAGACAGCAACCACTCTTGCGATGCTTCAGCAGGACTTCAAGAAAACATAAAAGGTCAAGGACAGGTTAAAGAAGTTAGTTTAATGATCGTTTGCAGGACCATCTGACAGTGCATCAGGATGAATGCACAAAAGGGTAATGCATTAGCATTATGCACATGCATCCGGGTCAGCTTTAGTGCTGCAGCTTATATAATTCAAGATCAAATCATGTTTGCACGACTGACTGTTATATGACAAAACTTCAGATGATGAATTGACAGCATTACTGATTTGCCCTATATAGATAGGCAGTTTGAGTCTGAATATTTTAAGTGAGATGTAGGAAGAGCTATCTCAGTTTAAACCCAAAGGAACAAGGATATAGAACAAACTTCTTGTTGGAAGAGGAATAGCCATTGCTGGTGCAAATGTCAAGGACTCAATATGAACAAATCATAATACACTGATATGTGCTGAAGGCGTGTTCATTTGGTTTTTACAAATGAATTCTACCAAAGACCATGATGGCCAAAACAGTAAACCAAAAGTAGGAGAGGAGGAAACAAAAACTTGTTACAAAATGGAAGAAACTTATTACAAAGGGCAAGTACCGTGCCAAAAAATGCAACACTTCATGTAAACCAATGTGTGTCGACAAGTGAAACCTAGGTCGCTTGACGAGCAAATGGTCATCTTGCATCCATCAATGGCGTGACTTGTGAAACCTAGGTCGGTTAGTGAACGTGCGACCATTGGCTCTAACAAAATGTGTGATGCCAATACAAAGACCAGCCCACAGAAGTGACAGCAACAAATGGCGAACATCATTCCGGGCTGCAAAAATGATGTAGCAGTCAGCTGTGAACATCAACTAACAAATTCCATCAGCCTGCAAAAATCAAGGATGCATATAACAAAGCCAAAAAATCTCATATTTGTCCTTAGAATGGTGATGCAATCTAAATGCACCCTCAACTTCCAAAATTTGTCAGGAAAATTTGGTCTCTAGCAAACATATCATTAATTTTGTCATGCTGCCCGGCACATCAACTTGACCACACAGGCGCGCGCGCACAAACACACAGACACACACACTAAGTTGAGTCATGACACAACTCTTCACTAACCCAAGAAAAATATAAGGGAAGGAATAAACATTTGTGCAAGTGGAATTCGTTGTTTTTTTATTTACTCAATGCACAATATTCTTTATTTGCCCAAACAAATATCAAGGCAGCATATTTAGTGGTAAAGTTGTTTTCCAAAGGATGAGACTAAATGCAAGATTTTTAAGAAATTGTTCCTTTATTTAATCCGTGTATGTTGGATAGAAAAACAGAGAGCAGATGTTGCTGCCTGCCAAATTGCAGGGGAGAATTAATCGGCATAAATTTATAGCAGAACACTCCCAAATGTCTGTTTCAGAAGATTCAGAATTCTTACCTTGTCTTAGTGACATCATCATGAACATTAGAGCTCCCATAACCAATGCAAAAGCAAGGCGGAAGGACTGCGAAAGAAAAACTGCACAGGTTAGTGTACAATGTGATAGCTCCATACATAAAATGCAACTTCAAGCTATAGCTAATTGTACCCACCGCATAACTCTCCAGAAGTCCTGCTTTGCTTGGCACTGCCATGTCTCGACTAACAGATGTCATGTAATGTCCTTGAAGAAGATCCATGGCATCCTGTGTAAGGTAATAAATAAATACTGAGGCACTGCCTATATAGCACACAAGTCAGATATTTCAACGAAAGGTAAACTGGAACTTAGAAGAAAGAGAGTTGAGCCTCGTATGAAGTCACTTAGACTGGATGGAGACATTAGCGACAGGTTTTATAGAGGATGCATTAATCATAATTGGCATATAGTCCTCTTACACTAGTGAAAATCCTTACCACTCAATTAAATCATACAACATCATGTAAGCTGCCATTTTCATCATAAATTTTTCAGCACTTTCTTGCTTAGGCTTACCCCCAATTCAAGAATCGCACTGGTACTAATATATGATTAACATAATATAGTACTAGGCTAAGTTATGGAAATGCGACATTTGGGGCACCATAAAAAAAAAGAACTGTTTACCTGCTTAGTCCCATCAACGAAGTTATTAAAGTAGTATCTACCAAGTGCATTCCTCAAATCGTTCAGAATTCCTTGAGTAGTTCGCTTCCCATACCTAATAGACAAAAACAAATTCAAACTATGGACAAAGTATCCTAGAAATCGAATAAAAAATATTCCACATTTGTCTTCATTTTAAAGCACCCAACTACAAACAAAATGAATATAAATTAACTAGCAGTAATAGAGACTGACAAACAAAAGTACACTACTTAATATGCACTTGGTCAGCCAAATTATTAATGTGGACATGTGGAACCATCTTGTGCCCTGTTGCACTGAAATTTACTGGTTAGACAGAGACTTTTCGCCAGATGATTAATAAAACTTTACAGTAGCCCATTATCTGGGTGATACAGGTATAGAGATCATTGTAAAAGTGGCTACAAGCTACAACTGTTCTTAGTTAATGTACAATTAGAAGTAGTTTATGTTCTTGCTAACTAGAAAAGGAAAGAAATAGAAATATAATAAAAGAACTCAAAATAAGAAACATGATTTTTTTTCTAAATAAATTACCGAACAAAATCTCCCTTCAGAGCAGGAGTTCCAGAGTACTGAATGCTTATTGCATCTCCATGATTGGCCCACACTGAAAAAAGGCTCATTTTACTACAGCAACATGTTTATATGGCTTGGAAAAGTAGAACCAAGAACCTGGATTAATTAAATGGCAAACATAATACTCACAAATTTTGTAGTTTGTATCAAAGGCTGGATGTTTGCTTATTGTATCACCAGCACCAAAAACTCCTATACGTTGAAGTTGGCTTTCCAGAATTTTTCGCCCAATCATGCTCTGTTCAGGAATGTCAGAGTTTAGATATACAAGTGAAAGTTGAACAGGAAGAGAACTTATAACATAAAATAAATAGCAATAGTATGTCATAAAAGTATCAACAAGAGTGCAATGATTGTCTACTTTGCAAGTCCAGCCATGGGATTCTTATTGCATCAGTATTGCTAGTATGTGTAGGTTCCAGTAAAAAAGAAATGTATTACTAGTGTGTACTGTTTTAGAACAAACAATCTGAAAAACCAAACAAGTGTGCAACTTAAACCATATGATCAATATCGAGCATGCAGTCCTAAAAGTACATCAATCCATATTCCATACACAGTGAAACAGTTTGGATATGATTCAAAATCAAAAGATGGTTTTGCAATTTCTACACCTGTCTGATAATATACACTAATGATATAATAAACCATGAAGGGCCCTTAGACAAACAATAAATGTCATATGCTGGTTTGAAAAACTAGGTAACTGGATGACAAACGGTATTGCATAGACAGATTATTTGATAAACAACAAATGTTGAAGTACAAGTGAATGTGATAAAGTCTAGTAAGTACCTGAGTCACATTGGTGCGATCCAAACAATCTATACAATTTGTTCTTACAGTGCCAGTCTGCTCCTCAATTTTCTCTCCTTTATCATTTACAAGGAAGTACCTATCACATAACCATATTAGCAAGACCATGCGAAGGAAATGATAACAATATAACATCCAGAGATGTAAGAGACTTTGGAAACAAGGTATAAAGGAACATATCGCTAGATATACAAAAGAACTCACTAGACAAGAAGATAACAAACCAATAACAGTATGACTAGTGATTGAATGCACTGCACTTTTCCTACTTAGCCAGAAACTCCGAATACGAAAAAGAAAATCTGCATGGTAGATCCTTAACGCATCTGTACTATAGCCCCTAAAGGCTCCAACCAGTATTTCAGGTGGCAATGTGCAAGATTAGATAGGTTTAACTTCAAGCAGAAAAGTTTGTTCTGCATCAGGCTGAATCAGAGTAAAATCTATACACCAACAGATTAAAGAACTAAATGATTCACTCAAGCTTGACTCGTGCAGTTGTTTTTTGCATGCAGATTTGATGCAATTGGTGGTTTTGTGTTGACCAAAGCATGATGGTGATTGATTTCGCCCCAATATAACAAGGTTCCTTTGACAGACAACAAGAATGTACACAAATGATAAAGGGCATGGCATTGAATATACTGTATCAGCTAACAGCATACTTATGTTTCTGAAGATAGTCCTTGATATGATCATACAGCTGAGAAAGGCGCTCAAAGTGAATATGACCACAAACTCGGTGGAAGTCGAAGTGCACATATCTGCAAGACATGGCATTTATACATGCTTAGCTCTAATACAACATGATAGGAGCAGTGAGCATTCAATCGTAGAGAAAGAAATTGTTACCTTATATCTTCACTAAGAATAGGTTCAATAGATTTTGCATATCTTTCACGGAGGCGACCCTCACCGCCACCCTGAAAGATAGAATGAAGCCAATAAGCAAGTAAAATACTCTATGCAACATAAGCCGAAGGAATCACGGTATTACATTTCTATGAAACAAACATGCTCACTTGGGGGAAAAAGCATGCAAGTATGCAGAATGCATATCAGAGGTCAATCCTAATATGAAGAAAATAAATTCGATTTTGGAAAATAGACATCTTAAAGAGGAGCAAATCCCATACACAATGGTCATGGAGCATATACTTCTGACTTTCTTAATTTTGAAAATCATAGCACTAAAGTTAGTTTGAAGTCCAAGAGCAGTGCACTTACTGTATTGACAAGATCAACAGCTAAGACAGCTCCATATTTCTTTTGCAAATCATGGAAGTGCCTCTCAAGTACACGAGGCTGAACAACAGAAACAGATAGCATATAATTTCACGGAAAGGCATAGTGCCGTTAAAGCAACTAGGTAAAGAACAAAACAAGGAACGAGATAAGTGGGCTCACCGCCTCCTCTTGTCTAACAATGTCAAAACTAGGTTTGTATGTCAAATCAACAATCTGCTCCCACAAGAATGGCATAGAGCCTCGAACCTACAAAACATATAATTTGTTAAATATTCGGAAGATTTGTATAACAACAAACTAATTCAGAATGAAGCACAACCTAAAAGTGTGGGAACCAAAAAGCAATGTTATTGGTTGATTTTAGATTGTGTGAAGAAACTTACTTGTACATAGGATGCTGTAAACCCTTTTGACTGCATTATCTGCTCTGATTCAACAAAGTTTGCAGCATAACCCTCTGCATCAGCTCCTCGTCTCCACATTCGAGTACCTTAAAAAACCAGAGAGCTATTATTCAATCCTAAGAAATTGAGTTTACTGGAAATGAGACAGATGGAGTTTTTTAACATTAAATACAGCCCGCGGGGTGGGGGGTGGGGGGGGGGTGCATTGTAAAGATTTTAATTGAAAAAAAAGGAACAAAAAAACAGTACAAGAGGAGGCTGGTAAAGGACCAGTCAACCACATATTGAACTAAAATGTTAATGAAATTTGAAAAATCTAAAAAACTTATTTTGATGACAACCAACCCTCACCTATCCTTCGTGTGCACCTACGTGCAATCAGGGTCACATTTGCCTTCTCTGACCCAACTTCTGCTTGGATATTTTGAAAACCTGATGTTTAGTTAAGTTGCAGAAACTCACAGAAAACTTCAGCCAATATTTTAATAGAAAACATCTTATTTATCCACAGATTTGCTATGGTACTCCGAAATTACTGTGGACCCATCCACTTAGATAGATCTTGATGGCTATGATTAACTATTACCTCCTACGAAGTAAAATTTTTAGTTCTTGAATGTGACATAAAAAAAGGAGACATGTTTAGAGGTGTGTATGCTAACATGACTTATTATGTCACAGATGTGTGACATGTTATGAAAAATGTATATGACAGTTGCACATTAGATGTATATAGGTAACATTTTTTAAACAGAAGTAGTTGTAACGTGATTTCCTAAGGGGTTCTCGGAGTACCATAGCAAGGCCCATTTCTCTAGTAGTGAAATTGTTGAAAATGTCACGATATACCAAGGATACTGCCTTGAATTACTGGCAATAAGTACTGGTTCAGCTGTCAAGGGAGAAAGAAGAAATCAGAATACTTTGCAGATATCAGCACTTAAATCAAAACTGAAATGAGCTAAGGGCCTGTCCAGAAAGGGAATTTTTTATCGAACATGCAGGAGAGCTGAGTGTCATTATATTAAGAATAAAGAATGGGAAAATTACTATACAAAATTTTAGGATTTCGTTCAAATGTGAGCTGAATGCTAAGGCGATCCGGTTACCAACCCCTCCTATCCAAACAGAATACCTAGAGATAGTCTTAATCTTACCTTGTTCTCAATTAGAGGTTCCAACAAGTAAGCGTTCCATAGAAATCTTGGTTCCGCCTGAAAATAATTATGTTAATTGATCAGTAATAGTAGTTAGAAAAGCACAAGGCATCGTGGATTTAGTACAAGAAATTGTTAAGCACTGATGCTTAACTTGGCAGAGCTAGATTGCATATTTCTGCACTGTTCTTTGAGGTGATTACGAGAAGCTACTGTGAAAAATTCATAATCAACTTAACGAGGTTGAAATCAAATACATTTGATTTTTCTCACACCATAAAAGTTCTACCAAAAATTAAAACAGTCCTACAAATTATCCATGTTGAAGGAGAATGGCATTACTAAAGTCATTAGCATTACCAACAGCAGAATGGCACACTTTGAGATTAGGTGTTAAAGGAGAATGCAAGCTTTGTCGCCAAAAGGAATAGTCAGATTATGTCACACTCTTTTTGTGTACCAATAAAAGTAGCAACTAGCAAAAGTAACCTGGTACTACATGTTCCAATAAAGCATAAGCAGCACTGCAGCAGAAGCTTGCAATGGAGAAAGATAAGGCCGACATCTGTAAGCAAACTCTGGAATTAGAAATGGAGAACGAAAGAAACCTGTCTCCAAAGAGGAAGAGCTCTATACTCATCGCCTAGATCATGTAGCCTCTGTGCACTGGATTAGAACAGACAAAGACAAGCATGCGGTAAGCGATCAATACAGGGAAATATTCCAAATACTCAATTAATTGAGACGTGCATATTCTATTATAGCTTCTCTCTGCCTAGAAAAGCTAAAGCTGCTAAACGTTTCAAGTATAGATCTCAAGAATGTAACTGAAAATGTTAAATAAGATACTCACGAAAGTGTTAGGTTGATATCGTAGGAAAAGTGAAGGCCAACAGTCCTCTCTGCAGCATCCAGGAGTTCCGAGAATTCTGATTCCATTTTTTTCTGCCAACAGCATATTTGAATGTTCAAATGGAATATTGATGGACTTTGAAAGTCAATTCATAAAAGCAAGCAAAGCGCCGCAAACAACTTAGCTGAGAACAAAAGAAGCATATGTTAGACCTGTTCAGCAGAGGTGGTGTTATGTGCATTATTGCAGGGAAGAACTTTTAGCCCTGTCACTTTAAAAATTGCGTGTCCAAAGTAGGATCCCACACAATCACGATCCGTGACCACCACAAAATATGATCCAACTGCAAGTTTGAGCACTCCTATCACACCATATACTGTTTGAACTTTATGTTTTGTAGTGGGTCCACGTGACGGCAAGTCTTGAACTAGATTCATTGTTCCACTGGTCCGGCTAACTGACAAGTACAAGTCAGCAAGGCCATCAATTGGTTCAAATATATAAGAGTCAGGAAACTCCCAGAGTCTCAGTCTTGTATGGAGTTTTGACGAAGGGCTTGCATCAGTTGTCTCATCCATGGTGGGATAACCTGAAATAATTGGTGAAACTGATGATAATTAGCATCACAATGACATGGCTAGATTTTCATTTAGAGTACTAGTCAAGTTGATATCAGAAAATATCATTCATGTCAAGATACTTGGAACTAAGAGGTAAATATATTAAAAGAATTATAGTGAATACTTTTGACACATGACACCTCCATCTTTCATTACATCTAATCTAAAATAAGAAAAAAGATAAGATGTTGAAAAGGAAGTTATCAACATCTTGAGAAGACATGGACAGTTAGCGAATGATGGTTGCCCAATAGCCTGCCTTTTGTTTTCTTCCTTCTCCTTTGCACCAAATATTTCTCTCACTTCCATAATTATTGCTATATCTCTATATAGTCCCTTCCCAGTATCTATTTTTTTTTATCGTCTTCATCTTCCTCCACATATGTTATCACATTGTATAGCATGTTTAGATTATGTTTGATGGAAGTGGATAACAAGTAGTGCGTTAGGAGCCACTATATATACTTGTGGCGTGGTGTTTAGCATATAAGAAGTTGCCTGGTATTTTTTGAAACTAAAATTTCTCTAGATTGTACAATAGCAGAAGAAATGACAGGGCTGCAGTGGCAACCATCAGAGCAAGCCTTCTAGAACCTTGCAACACACATGAGCAGTAGGCCTTGAATAATCATCTTTCATGGAAAAAAAAAAAAGAAATAGACAGCTCGAACCTTGAGCGTGGGCAACTGTGAGATGGCCACCAACAGGAGCACAGCCGAACAATTGGCTTATATGTGAGCCCGGAAAATGAGGTCTAACATGGTTGTGCTGAGATCGAAGGGACCTACGGCCCTGGATCCTTCTATTAACATGATTCACGCAAGGCGGGCGGGATGCAAGAATGCATCCTGTAACTAGAGCAGCACAGGTGGCCATTGGCCCACAGTGTGATAGCTAGCACCAGGGATCTTGGGTGATGAGGATTGAGGAATCAGAATGTCTTTGCGATCCTATATGTTGTTGACAGATCAGGGCTGGCTGAGGAGAGAATCAAGCAATTGACTCAACAGCATGCGCTATTCGCCTTATTCAGAAATCAGAAATCCCGAGCTTGCATCGCAGGCACGAAATCTGAGGCCCACGGTGTCCGGTCGATCGCGGAGATCGACAGGACGCTCGCAGGAAATTTCTGTAGGATTAAACGGCGTGGAGTCCGCACCGCCCAATCGAATCTCCTACGGGCGGCCGATCCACGGCGCCCTCAACCCCTCAGCGCCCCAATGTTAAGCGATAAGTAAAGAAACGAGGCGTACCACGGCGATAAGAAGGCCCCTCCTGCCTCAGCGGCTAGCTGGTTGTCAGGGATCGCTGATTCGCTGGGCTGTTTTGCCGGTGTTGTCGCCGGAGCGGGGCGGCGACTCTTCTCTCGAGGCCGGCGATGCAGAGGGTGAGGATGACAGGGCCCACAGACAAGGTCATAAAAGGTGTGCCACGATCTGTTTTGGTCTTTCTGCATGCGGACCCCGCATGGAGTCCGATTGTTTTGCGGGCAGGTTGACTAGGCCCCACTCCGCCGCTCCTGCTCCTTCCCTCCCTCCCACCACGAGCGGGACGAGCCTGCGACCAATCGAGCGGAGGAGCGAGAGGCAGACCGGCGAGGTGCGGGGTCGAGGCACACGGCTGCGGCACGTCACGCGGAGTCGCGGAGTCCTTGCGCTCGCCGCTCGCGGCGGCACAACACGCGGTGGTCTGGGTGTGGCGGTCGTGGCAGCGCGGGCTTTACGAGGAGCTCAATAGCTACATTTTTTTTCTTTTTCCATTGGTTCAGTGAATCTCAACCGCCGAACCGGTTAACTAAAACCGACTAAAATAACTAAAACCAAATTTTATCTATTCCTGTTTTTCTAAAAGACCATTCAATTTTTTATTCTTATATAACTGAATTTGCTAAGAAACCGAGGAACCAAACTGACCGATTTCGGTTAATCGAATGTCCACCGATCGACTAGTATAGAGGTTGACAGGCCGAATCCAATACGTGGTCGCGCTCGTCAGCGGCAATGGCCCAACCCAACGGTGTTATGGGCTATGCAGCCCTGGCCGCTATGCGTTGACCGCCTTGCCCCATCCTGCCTTGCTCACTGACAGGTGGGGTGGGCCGAAGGGCAGCCCCGTTCTAGTCTTGTTGGGACTATTTGTTTGACCTATTGTACTGTCTTTTTTTGGAGGTCTTGGCATAAAAACTAGATTTTTTGGCTGTTGACTTTTTGCTATTGAATTTTGTAATAAAACTTTTAGTTTCTCTGCACATCAAAAGCCAAAAAAGTTTTTTCAATGCTTTTGACTTTTCTGGCTGTTGAATTTTTAGCTTTTAGTTTATTTCATCAAAAGTCAACTTTCTTGCTTTTTAAAAGGAGTTATTTTGATCGATGCCATTACAATTTTTCAACTTCTTAGATACACCATTACAAGTCATCTATTTAGAATCATGCCAATATAATTCTTCCATTGCCACAAATATGTCACTTTGTACACATTAGATGCTATTGGACCCACTTGCTGACCAACTCATTTTTGTATTGCCTAAATTGCCCCTGTCTACTCTCTTTCTTGCACGCCACTGACGCGTGGGCTCCACTGTCATCGTCTTCCTCCTCTCCTCCCCTCGTTGGCTACGAACCTACAATCGGCATCGGGATGCAGCCAGACTCGCTTGGGCTACCTCTATGCCCACACCAGAACCCAACGGTGCTCTTGCTCGTGCGCGCGTCGGTCACGCAGCCGTGCGCTCGTGCCAGGGCCGCGCGACCCCAAGATTCCTGTCGCCGACGTCGCACACCACCACGCCCGCCATGCGGCCCCGTAGCAGCTCGTGTAAGTGTTACACCCTAAATCATTTACTAAGACATGTCATGAGCATCATATTTATGTGTTAGTGCATGTGATGGAGTGCATAGATGAAGCATTGCAATTAAAATGATCAATAAAAGTGTTAAACAAAAAGTTACTCCATAACTCGTACAGTTAACAAGTAGGATTGTAAACCAATTTTTATTGAGCAAAAACACTATAGAACACACATGTGAGACTTAATAAAGTTTAAAATATGAACTTTGTAGATGACAGTGAAAAAATAACATTGCTAGCCAACATTTCTAATAGTCTAGAAATTGCAACTTGGAATCAAATTCAGCTCATAGACTTAGAAGATTTTTAAGTGTATAGGCAGCTAGACAATGCCATGTTTGACAATTTATTTTGCGAAATCAGGTTAAGAAAAGGTGTTATATTTTAGCTCGGGTTAGTAGCCTCATATTCGATATTGAGCATGGTGAAGATAGTTTAGGTCTAGAAGCAACCGTTTATTTGTTATGGGCACTTTAAAATTCATGTAAGTCATAGTCTCAGAATGGTTGGCACTGCGCGCAAGCCACCCACCCTGCCATGCGCCCATGACCAGCGTCCGCTGGTCATCTCCGTCGCTTCCATGTTGGGCGGGTCGGTCGGCTGCTTGGCTTGGCCGAGGCCGGCCAGAGTAAGTCACCGGCCCCCGCGCTACCACCATTGGTGCCGCCATGGCCGCGCTGCGCTGCTATCGCATCGCCGCACTGCCCACCAGCCTCGCATCGCGACGCTGCCGCTGCATCGTCACCGTGTCCGCGCCTGTCCGCTATACCCATGCGCCGTTGCCGGCCCAGTTCAAGGCCGCCACTGACACGCGCACGTGGGCGAGCCGCCATCACCTTGTCATTTAAGACACTGCGGCCGCACGGGCCACGCCGGTGAAAGGTCCTAATGGCTAGAGGGGGGTGAATAGCCTATTAAAAATTTCTACAACAACACTTAATAAAACGGTTAGACAAATATGAGGCGAAGCGAGTGTTGCGCTAGCCTACTAAAATGTAAGCCATCTACCACAATTCTAGTTTATATAATCTCTATCCACATAATGGCTATGTCACTATACTAAGTTAGTGTGCTCTCAAAGGCTAACTAAAGAGCCACACTAACCAAACTAACAAGTTCTTACGACTAGCTACACTAAAGAGTTTGACAACTAATTTACGGTAATGTAAAGAGAGAGAGCAAGATGGTTATACCGCCGAGTCGAGTAATGAACCAATCAATCACAAGAATGAATACCAATGAAGACCAATCACCTCAAAATCAAATGATAACACAATGATTTTTATCGAGGTTCACTTGCTTGCCGTCAAGCTAGTCCTCGTTGTGGCGATTCACTCACTTGGAGGTTCACGCGCTAATTTGCATCACACGTCAAACCCTCAATAGGGTGCTGCACAACCAACATAAGATGAGACTCACACAAGCCACGAGCAATTCACTAGAGTACTTTTTGGCTCTCCACTGGGGAAAGGTCAAGAATCCCTCACAATCACCACGATCGGAGCCGGAGATAATCACCAACCTCCGCTCAACAACCCTCGCTGCTCTAAGCCGTCAAGGTGGCGGCAACCACCAAGAGTAACAAGCGAATCCCGCAGCGAAACATGAACACCAAGTGCCTCTAGATGCAATTACTCAAACAATGCACTTGGATTCTTTCTCAATCTTACAAAGATGATGAATCAATGATGTAGACGAGTGGGAGGGCTTTGGCTAAGCTCACAAGATTGCTATGTCAATACAAATGGCCAAGAGTATGAGCTAGAGCCGACCAAACAATATTTATAGACACCTCCAAATAATAGAGTCGTTGGCTCAATTATTGGGCTGATAGCGGGACGACCGGACGCGCAGGTCGTGTGCACCAAACGCGTCCGATCGCTGTGTCCGGTTACAGCCTGATCGCCATGTGTCCTTTTCAAATTGTTTACCCATTGGCGCCCAATGGCTATCTCTGCGCACAGTAATACTATGTGATCGGCGCGACTAACTCCTTTTCGGACGTGTTCGGTCACTCTGTGACCAGCGCGACTAACTCATTTTTAACTCTATCTTCTTTACCCTTACTCAAATGTGCCAACCACTAAGTGTATCACCTTGTGCACATGTGTTAGCATATTTTTACAAAATGTTTTCAAGGGTGTTAGCACTCCACTAGATCCTAAATACATATGCAATGAGTTAGAGCATCTAGTGGCACTTTGATAACCGTATTTCAATACGAGTTTCACCCCTCTTAATAGTACGACTATTGATCCTCAATGTGATCATACTCACTAAGTGTCTCGATCACCAAAACGAAAAAGATCCTATCAAGTTTCACCTTTGCCTTGACCTTTTTATTTTTCTCTTTCTTCTTTTTTAAGTCTAAGCATTTGATCACCACCATGCCATCATCATCATCATGATTTTCACCATTGCTTCATCACTTGGAGTAGTGCTACATATCTCATAATCACTTTGATAAACTAGGTTAGTACTTAGGATTTCATTAATTCACCAAAACCAAACTAGAGCTTTCAGCCGGTCGGACACGCGCACGCCTTATCTGTAGTGCCTACGTGTGGGTGTCTTGATCGCGCCGCTCGTGTCTCGCCAAGGCGAGGACGAGCCGAGCCCACCTATCATGCCCCGTCTCTCTCTTTCTCTCTTTCTCCCTATGCTGGCGCCGTCGAGCCACGCCATTAAATTCGTTAGGGAGAGATCACCTCAAGTTGATTCGTCGTGTTGCTGGCTCCATCAAACAGCTGCTTAGCTACCCGTCCCCACCTCGACTTGATTGGTGCCGGTCGAGCTTCAATTTTGGAGCTTTCCACCGTCGCCGTGCCGATAAGGCCGAGTCCGCCCATCACCGAGGGCAGCCCTCATCTAACCACCTCGGGCCAAATTGGCCACACCGCTAGACTCGCCTCGAACCCTCTCCTCGCCATGTGCACTTGAGCCGTACCCCTACCGTTGTTCAACACTGCTGACGCGGTTGTGTCCGCCGTGGCTCGTCGTCGAGCTCGCCGCACACACGTGGCTAGCCT